TGAAAGCTTATGCTCTAATAAATGTGTTAGTCTCTAAGGTGCCACAAGTACTCCTGTTCTTCTTTTAGTCTCTAAGGTGCCACAAGTATTCCTGTTCTTTTTGCTTACTCACTCAAACCTTCCTATTGTCTTTAGCACAGCTACTGATGTGAAGAAAGACTACTCATATGAGAAAGGGTCACAGGATTGGTTCTTTAGGCCCCAGTGCTGCAGCTGGATCTGCCTGGGCACATCATTGTGAGGCTCTGCACAGACACAGCCGTCTGCCCACACTGTGGGGAGGGATAGCTCAGTGGTTTGAGCATTGGCCTGCTAAACCCAGGGTTGTGAGTTCAATCCTTGAGGGGGATCTGGGGCAAAAATCTGTCTGGGGATTGTTCCTGCTCTGAGCAGGGAGCTAGACTAGATGACTTCCTGAGGTCCCTTTCAACCCTGATAGTCTGTGTACTTGAAGGATTTTGTCCTGGTGCTTTAATCCTGCAATCTATCTGTGTGGACAGGGGCCTGGTCATAGAACCACTGAGTTGGCTCTGTGCAGATGCAGAAGTCCTTCTGTGAGGAGCTCATTGCAGGGTCAGAGCCTTAGGTGCATTAAATTCAATGGGGCTGTTCACAGCATTAAAGCTAAGCATATGCACACATTTTTGCCAGATTGGAACCTTAGTTTGTGAACTCTTCAAAGTAGGGACTTTGTCATAGTCATAGAGTTTAAGGCCAGAAGGGACCACAGATCATTTCGTTTGACCTCTAGTATATCACAGGCCACCACCACCACCTGCAGTCTTCATTTGTCTTGAATAGTACTAAGCATAGTTAACAAATGATAATAAATATTATTAATATATAGATTAATCATTGTATAGTCAGCAAAGAGATTCCCTTGTGACAAGCCTTGATCAGTAAATGAAATGCCAAAAGGGCTGCATAAGTATCTACAGTCAAGAAAATTTATAGCACTGGGTCTTATGCTTTGGAGTCTATTGGGTTCCACCCCCATGGATGGAATTTGCACCCATGCTGAGTCCCGTTGAAGTCAGTGTGCCTCTACATGAGTGCAAAGGTCTCCCCATGTAGATGTGATTTTTGGATTAGGATCGTTGGCTGTGAATATCGAAGTGAAAGAATACATCATCTGATGAGCATGATTTTGAAAATGGCAGGTGTGAGCCTCTTTGTAACTTAATCCTTTTCAAACTTCGGATGCTAGGAAGATTCTCAGCAGTCTACAGGCCGCCGCTTTCTCAGTTTATGATTTGTTCTTGAATCATTTGAAGCTTGTTGAATTTTGGGTAAATTTTCAAAAGCACCTATATGACTTAAGCACTTTTGAAAATTACATAATCAATGGAATTATAGGATTCAGTTAGCAAGTTATTTCCCAGTAGAGGAGAGAATTCTGAAGGAAGTTGTTTAACATCATGAGCATATGACAAATCTTCTTAATCACTGTGAGAACATGATGGTTTTCTTAAGTGGATGCAGATGTGTTAACATTATTTTTGTTATTAGTATGAAAATATGTGCGATGTAAGTGTTTGAGGGCACTGGGGTAGGTTGATATTAGATGGGGCACGTAGGAGTGGGATTGGTGACATCTTAACTGCCTGATTGGGGAACTTTTTAAAGAAAAAAGTGTTGCATTGACAGTCCCCCTTTGAATTTGAGCACATTTTGGAAGAATGTGTAAGATGTTGGACAACATTAAATAAGATAAATCAATGGAAGAAAGGACATGGAGGGGTAATAAAAAATATTCAAAGAGAAATTGATGTACTCAAGTGCTTAAGACTTCTGTTAGCCATCTATGAAATAAGGGCCAGACCCTGAACTGGTGTAAATTGACACAGTTTCATTGATGTCACCAGCATTGCATTGATTTAGACCAGATAAGGAGCATGCCCTAAGAGTTTATGTTTTGTAAAGGCTGATATAATTGAAGAAAGACTGGCCGAACATCATAAAGGGTTTGAGAGGCATGTGCAGAGAGGGCTGGGAAGATTGCAAAATGAAATCAAGAACATGAAGGATAGGGAGAAAATATAAGGACGAGTAGAGAAAGAATAGAGGATTGCTCAGAGAGTTAAGGTGATCCAGAAAGTTTTCAATTACGTAGGCAAAACAACGTGACTGATGTAGGACATGCATGAGATGGTGAAGGACATTAAGGGTATGTCTATACTACCCGCCGGATCAGCAGGTAGTGTTCGATGTATCGGGGATCGATTTATTGCGTCTTGTCTGGACACGATAAAATGATCCCCGAATCGATGCCCGTACTCCACCTCGGCAGGAGGAGTAAGTGGAGTCGACGGGGAAGCTGCGGCAGTCAACTCGCCGCCGTGAGGACGGCCAGGTTAGTCAAACTAAGATACTTTGAATTCAGCTATGCGAATAACGTAGCTGAAGTTGCATATCTTAGTTCGAAACCCCCCCCCGTTAGTGTAGCCCGGGCCTTAGTGATGGAAGAAAGGGTTTTTTTTGTTTGGTTTGGTTTTTGTTTTTTTAAATGGAGATATCCCATCTCCTAGAGCTGGAAGGGACCTTGAAAGGTCATCGAGTCCAGCCCCCTGCCTTCACTAGCAGGACCAAGTACTGATTTTGCCCCAGATCCCTAAGTGGCCCCCTCAAGGATTGAACTCACAACCCTGGGTTTAACAGCCAATGCTCAAACCACTGAGCTATCCCTCCCCCCAAGTTAAATTAATTGTGTGCCTCAGTATTGACAGAGGAATATGGGGTGAGCAAAAACATTTCTCAGAGGAAGCAGAAGGAATTTCAAAAGAAATCAAGATCACTATAGAGCCAGGAATAGAGAGATCAGAATTCCTGAAGCCTGATGGAAGCACAGGTCAGAATCAAGGAGGGTTCATTCCAGAAAGAAAGAAAGAGGGGTGGAGGTCTGGCTTTAATCTGATCATGAGATTCGCACAGCAATTGATTTGGATGACATATATTTTAAAGAGGGTACTGTTCAGTTACTACAGAAAATGGATCAGATACTGTAGTAACGGGCCCCAAGATAAGAATTTAGATTATTACTATTTGTATTACAGTTTCTGCTCTGAAGAATGTGAACGGGTCCAGTTGCAAAATCAAACCCTGTTCTCTATACATGGGCATGAAGGTTCCAATAGGAAGAGATGCAACTCTCTAGGGCCTTAGGAAGGTTATAATATTGCATAGTTAATCCTTACATACTAATCCATCCTGTTTATTTGCTAACACTGAAGCAATCTAAAGCTCTGAAAAGGAAGCTCCAATGGGCAGACGAAGGCACACCTTCAAAGCAGAAACCCAAGTTGTCAGTATCCCCAATCAAGAAATGCACTAAGGAGGCTGACATCTGCGTGAAAGGAAATTTGTCATCAAAATCTCCTCCGAAGAAGCACTCGACGGTCAGACAGAATGAGAGCCTAAGCAGCAGACCTTTCATTAAGACGTCGTGTCTGTTTAAAAACAACCCTAAGATTCCAGAAATTCACAGGTATTTTAAGCAAACAACGCCCCCCCCCCCAAAAAAAAAGCTATTGATTTCTCACCTTTATATGTACAAAGCATGAGGCTTTGTCCTTTCCCCCCCTTCGCTATGTACTTACAGTCTCATCATCCATCTAGTATGGTGGTTTTCAGCCATTTCTAGACCAGGATCCCCCATCCATGTACCTTGGTTCTAGCCAGGCTCCTTCTCCCATTTAACAATCTGAGAAGGTATAAGAACGCATGTAGAATAGAATAGGAAGGGCAGGGTAGTTGTGACCCCCATGCTGAGAGCCTCTGATCTAATAAGACAAAGATTGAATTAAGTGGCAGGTGGAAGAATTGGATTGAGGGTTGGTTGGTATTTTCAAAAGACCCATGACAGAGAGTGGTCTCAAACCACTCAAATAGACTGCACCTCTCCCTAGATTTATAACATTGTAGCATGGAGACCATCCTGGTTTAAAAGCTTTGCCCTATGGATTTAACCTGGCTCCAAATTGTTTTATTTCTTGATTGTCCTTGATGAATCCCATGCCCTTTGGTGGGTCGGCCCTCAGGAGCTGGAGTATTGTAATGGGTTCCCTAGCTGCTGTTAACAATGTCCTGACTAGGTAGTTTTCCTTCATTGTCTGTTGTCGTGCTGGATTGTGCAAGTAGGCTTTAATGGGAGCCCCTGTAAAGAAAAAGCAGCATTAAGTAAGGAGTCAGATTCACTCTTGCTGTCTCCAGAAGGTGCAAATTACATTAGGATTCCACCGATAATGGGGGATTCCACTGGAGGGTGCCCCGGAGATGTGCTGAATCAGCATATTCCATGGCTGGCCTGACTATGTCCCTTCCCCAGGCAAATGTCTTGTTCCAGGCAATCTTTGCATTGGAACCCAAGCTTGACTCTCCTGTGAATCTGGCCCATAGCCTGTGGGTGATTGGAACTGTCTCACGTTGCTTTGGATTATTTCCCCTAACTTGCAGAGGTGGAGTGAAACAGGTGCAGGAAAAAGTTTTCACTTCAGATTCTTTCAGCCAGCTGGACCTCCATCCCCATCTGGTGAGTGCTAGACTGGCAACAAGGTCATTGTATAGTGGTGTATGGCTGTTTTACTGAGTTGTTTTTAATGGGTCTTTGTTTCGGGGGTTTGTGTTTTTATACGTGGAGATGAACTTTTGGTGGATATCCTCCTGTGAAGTGAGACATGCTCCTTGTAGAAACCGCTTCTGGTGACTCAGATTAGCTCATTAGTGATGATGCCATCTGAGGGCAGCTTTTGCATCAACATCCCCATCAGTACCCTTAGCTGTGCTCCATCCAACATCAGCAACCCACATCAGCACTACATGCAGATGCCATTTCAACCCCAGTAGCCCATACCCCCACCAGTCCCAGATCCATCTTTCTCAGCTAACACCAGGCCCAGCTGGCACCCAATCCCACTGCATCCAAACACCTCTCATGGTTTCATGTGGGTTGCAGACTAAAATATGTTGAGGCTCACTCAGAGGCCATGATTTGGTAGCATGTCATAACCCGCCAGGATTAGGGACTAGCAGGAATGCTTGTAGAACCAGTGAACTTTTCCACGCACTTGCCTGGATTAGTGATCAGAAAGAGGGAGAGAATACCAGGCTTTGGGGTTTCTCCCTCTCCTGCATTGCAGAAGTCATGAAAGTGAGTAGTAGAGCATTAAAACCTTTTAACACTGTATTTATCCCTTTAGATTTCCACAATAACCACGGTCTTGAAGATGTCTAGTATGACCAGGTAAACTAACCTGTATAAAATACTTTTCACTTCTGTAGCACCTTCCATTGGATGATCTCCAAGCCCTTTACAAACTTAATTAATTCATAAGCCCCCACAATTCCTGTGAAAGTCTACGGGAGCTGTGAGTGTGCTGCACCTCCAAAAATCAAGCCATAAAGTAACTTGGTGTAGAGAGTCATTGGCAGTGCTGGAAACGGAACCCAGGAGTCCTGGCTCTTGGGCTTTAACCACAAAATCATCCTTATTTCTATTTAGCATACATAACATTTTTCTGTTGCTCTATTTTCACGAATCCCCGTTTCTGAGGTAGTAATTTTCAGCAATAACCGGGAGAGCACCCAGGTTGTATAAACCCAGGAACGTGGTTTTGAAACAATGGAAGGGTTTTAAAACCTCACACCTTTATAAATACTTTGAGACTGAGTTGGTGCTTGTGTGTTCTTAATTTGTGTTATTTGTTACATAGTGTTCAGAAGCAAACTATTCCTGTGCTGCTAAAAGGCAAGGATGCACTGGTGAGGTCCCAGACAGGGTCAGGTCAGTATTTAATTGACAGTGTTCCTTACTCAGGCACCATATTGTTTGGATTCTGTATACTCAAATTAAGCATTACGTTCACCTGTTGTTTTTCTTACTAAGGTAAAACTCTTGCCTATGGTATCCCCCTTGTACAGTCCTTGCAGGGAATGAAGTCAAAAATACAGGTATGTACCATAGAAATAAGTCTGCTCTCTTTTAATTTTCGAAGCAATAAAAATAAATTACAGCTGGTGCACTGAGGTCAGTAGTGTCTCTTCTGGTTATGATGGTTAAGCAATCTCTCTCCCTATTTAGTTATGACATTTTGGAATTTGGCCTACATGACCCGCGTACTCTGTAAATCTAAAAGCAATATAAGAAAAATATTAAGGGCTATATGTGCCCCTACACTTAATGTAGCAAAGAGGGTGGGTGGATGGGCCAAAATCTCAAGGTGGAGAGTAGGGGTAGGGAAATATCTGTGTAGCGGGAAAGATGGTTACATGGTAGATGTCCTCCACCACTCCGGCATAGCTACCTCTTTCCTCTCTGCAGCAATAGAGCCTGGCTCCATGTTGCTGAAGCAGGAGGAGTCAGGGAACAGCTACTTTATCCTACATGTTCCCTCTCAAGTCCATCAAGAGTTACCATGTTTAAAGCATTTGGAGGTTGTCATTTCTAGAAGGAGCAGTAGCTCCCTCTCCATGTCTTTTCAAAGTCTGGTGGGAGTGGTCAGTGTATGCCAGGAGGCTGGCTTCAGAGCATGGCAGTGGCTCAGAACTAGGGTGGAGGTCTGGAGGCTTGCAAAGGTTCCTGGTATGCTTTCTCCTCTTCATGTCCCGGCCTCCAGATACAGTATTTCAACAGCCTCTCCCCATTCAGATCAATATGTTGACCCAGGGCTGCAGATCCGTCGTCCTGTTTTGTGCCTCTTTAGGGTGTGACAAGAGGGATTTATTCTTAAATTCTTTATGGGTTGAAATAATTGCAGAACAGCCTGGGTTGTCACTATCTGTCCCTTGTGTGTCTGATTGTTCCTGTGCATCAAATATTAGTGTATTTCTGCAGACTAAGAAATAATACGTGAAATTGTATAGATCATATATAACAGGTGTGTGTAACATAAAAAAATCTTAGCTACACAATGAGCCTGGTGGATTTCAGAGTGCAAAAAAGGGAAGACCATCCTCTACTAATATTTAAAGGCTGTTAGCAGGGAGGGGAAAAAAGATTTGTTTATGATTATAAGTAGGAATAATGGAATGACACTGTGCAAAAGCTAATGTAGGTCGAATATCAGTGGCAAACTTCCTAATAGAGCTCTGCTGCCCAGTAGAAATTCACTAGAAGCCTTAAGGGAAGTGATGGAATCTCTATTGCTTTGAGTCATTTCAAACTGGACTGGGCAACGCAGTGAGGGGGACAATCCTGCCTTGAATCCCAGTAGGATTGATTTCATGAGCTAATAGCCACCTCTGTCTCCTATGATTCTCTGAGTTCATGGTGCATTCTGCTCAATGGTACTCTGTCTCTTCTATTTGCAGCGCAGCGATGGGCCTTATGCACTTATATTAGTTCCAACCAGAGAGGTAAGTTAAGTCGCCTTTTTTCTAAGGTTAGTGCTGGCATTTTACGGTTGTGGTTTCTGTTACTTTCTCAGACCCTGAGTATTTGGCCGTTGACTCCAGTAGGAGCAGGTTTGGGCTATTGGCAAGCTCAAGCGTTCTCGTGAGATATCTTAGCTAGTGAGCAGTAAGCTGGGGAGAAACATTCAAGTTTCCCCTTGTGTTTAAGAATTGGTTGGCAACATTGGAAACTCCTTGGCTTAATACGTGGGAAGGGAGAAATTTGTCTAGCATGGGAAGGGAGAGTTTGTGAGCTGCAAACGCAAGAGTTTATACAGACATTCCTGTTGATGTTTAAAGCCTCTTTTCAAATCCATCAGTGAATGTCTGGCAAACTAGGAGTTGGTTTGTTCTCTGAACTCTTATTTGGTTTGTTTTATTTGCCTTACAAATGCAATTTCAGAGCAGAGGATCAATGTTTTCCGTATCAAACGCTAATAACTTCCATGTGGAGAATTGATCACAGGTAACTAGTTTTGGGCACAACGTTTTATGCAACCTGCACTGCAGTATCTCAGCTCAACCCTGGGAAGGGAGAAGGCTCTGAAGCTATTTAAATTTTTACAGCAGTAAACTTTCTGCTTCGCCAGGATGCTCCATGAATACTAAGCATGTTCGTAAGATGGAGTCACGGGTTGCTGTTGAGCGCATTTTTAAAGTTGGTCTGTGATTACAATTGGTATTATTTTTACTTTCCAGAGTTTGTAATGGCCTCTTCGAAAGTTTGGCAAATAAATAATATTTAGCACTTGCCCATGTTTCGTCAGAGGAATTCAAATCATTTTACCTGCATAAATAAGCCTCACTCATATACATGTGCAATGTGAGCTAGGTAGATACTATCCCCACTTTGCAGGTGGGGAAATGAAGTTGCAGAAAGGTCAGATGGCATGTCCATGGTCGCACAGTGAGTCATTGGCAGTGCTGGGATTGCAACCCACAAGTGCTGGCTGCCAGTCCACTGCTTTAACCTTTGGTTTACACTCCCTTTCGCTAACAGTTTTCTCCCGGAAGAGATTCCATGTTATCCCACACTGGTTTTAGTGAAGGAAAACCCAGCAAGCCTTGGATAGTTTCTTTCTTGTGCATCAGCATCACTGAAGATGCTAATAGAAATGTGCACAGGTCTGAGAACAGTGTTTATTAATTTGAACCAGCAGAGGGAGCACAAGACATTGTTTTTGTATAGGTCCAAAGCTAATAGAGGTTTCTTCTTTTTTTGTTGACTATTTAATTGCTAGGATACTGGGTGGGGTCTATCTATTTTTTTATTTAATAAAGATATTTAGAATTCTAATAACATACATCACCAGTTTTTAAGAGTCTGCAGAAAAAATAAAAATTTGATCTAAATTGTGTGACGCTATCCTTCTAATACAGACGAGTCAGACTTCCATAAAACTTTATTTTCATCTGTTGATATCTGCAGCTAGCCCTACAGAGCTTTGATACAGTCCAGAAATTGCTGAAGGTAAGGATTTCATTCTTTATTTCCTCCTCACTCCTTTTGCTGTGAGATGCTAAGCACCGTCACTTCCCCTAAGCGCAATAGGGAGTTGAGGGGACTCAGTACCTAACAGGATTTCTGGTCCTTAAAATAAAGAATAAAACCTGTTCACTTTATTTTTAGCATTCAAGAGAAAGCCCAGCGCATTGAAGCTTGATTTTTCCTATTGGATGTTTTCAACTATTCAGTGACTGCTGTGGTGATTCATTATAATACCCTAGGGAGCTAAATACGTATTTGTTAAAGAAGAGTAATAGATATTAAAAATTAGATTTTTTTTGCAATGTTTTGTTTTTAGAGATGCCTGCCACTGCTTCAGAATTTCTATGGTTCTGAATGGAAACTCTTACATGGACAGATGCCACTGGACTCAGATTGATGTAGTAAAATAGGCCTCAGGGAATCAAATAGCCACTCGAATGTGTGGGGAAATTGGTACTTTTTTTTTTCTTTAATTTGGTTAAATTAACCCAAAGAAAATGATGATAAGAATAATAGAACGTCCCTCACAACAGCTTTAGGCCATGGTCCTGCAAACATATGTTGAACTTTACTTCCATGAGTAGTTCCATTGATTTCAATGGGACTCCGGCCAGTGGTAAAATTAAGCCTGTGAATGAGCATTTGCAAGGTCTAGGCCTCAGTCTCTGCCTTCCCATGCATTCAAACAGCCAGCTGATTCCCCAAGTCCTACCCCATCACCCTACTGTCAAGGTTTTTTTTTAATTAAAATACATTTAAAAAATATATTAGTCATTTTTTTCTGTGTAATTAGATGTCATCATTAGAAGATCTTTGATATTAAATTCAAATCTTCTTTTTAACATTGGCCAATTGTGTTCCATCAAGATCTAGAGTAGTTAAAGGTGACATTTCAACGGGCGGGTCGGGGGGAATTGGGCTTGCGCTCTTTTGTTTTCTTCTTTCTTATGTGTGACAGGTAATATCCATACAAACAAGACTAAACCTTGTTAAAATACAGTCCGGGCCACTGCTTTGTTATAGTATGATGGTCCAGTGTGGTAAAATTTGTAGTGTTGGTGAGGCCTACATTTTCTGGTATAATTAATTTGTTTGATCGGGTTTTTGGAAGGGCTTCCCATAATGATGAAGGGGTGGAAAGGCATTTCTGTAAGGGGCTGGCTGAATTCCTGTTGAAATGATTAATGCTGCGGGGATTTTATTGTGTTTGTTAGGGCACCTAGAACGTTGGATACACTCCTTTTAAAATATTATTTATTTATTTATTATACGTTTGAATGTAATAAATTATTGGCGATGGTATGCTGGACTAGATGGTCCAATGATCCACTCCATTAGGGCAGTTCTTATATTGCTACATGGCATGTAACGAGCTGAGCAGTGTTCTGGCCTTTAATTAACTACAAGATATGTATGTACAGTGTTAAAACTTATGTTCCATCTATCTTCCACGCCCCCTCTTGCATGAGGTGGACGGGGTGCATATTTTGTTTTCCTCTGTTATAAACTGGGCTACGCTCGATTCTGCTGGAGATTAGGACCCCATTGACGTCAATGACAGAACTCCTATTGACTTCAGTGGGGCTGATATTTCACCTTGGGAGCCTTTATTAGCCCAATAACAAACCTATATAAAGGATCTTTATTATGTTTCTTTATATTTTGCTTGGCTATTGGAAGATTTTGCTTAAAAGGCAACAGAAAGAAATAGAATCGCAAATTGTCTTTGATCATATAGGTTACACAGAGAGGAGGGGGAGACTTATTATATTATTGGAAGCGATGCAAAAATGATTGTATTTCCATCTTCCCAAACAACATTAGAAGCAAGTTAAATAGCTAGAATTAAATTTACCACTGATATTTAGCTGCAGGTGGTACAGTGCATGTGGGCTGTATCTGTTAGATCAAATCAGAAGCACAGCTATAAACCTGAGTTGCCTATCTTTATGTCAAGAAAAATCAGTTTTGGATTAGTATCAGCCCTTTTCTTAAGACTACTTCATATAGGTCTTGGTTTACCCCCACTGTAGCCATTTACCTGGATTGTGCCTGGCGTGCTAATGGGGGGAGAAAAGAGGAAGTCTGAAAAAGCCAGGTAGGAAGCCAACTTCTTAAAATTATATTTGGGTTCTACTTGTATCCTTTCATCTGTTTCTATTGCTGAGAATGCCTTTTTACTGGGAGAGATGCTTGTGGCTTGATCAAGTGGTGAACTTCCCAGATCTTACACAGAACTAGTGACTGGGTCAGCAGGGAGCATTCGCCTCCCTCAGTTAGCTCTAGTTTTCAAATGTTGATGAGCCTTCTGATGAGATGATCCCTGTCGATGTCAGTGTTTTTCTTCCTCTGACAAACACCTATATTTGCTTCGTCTACAGCGCTGTCTGCAACAGGAGTGTATTTGTCATGGGGAGAGCAGCGGGTTTTTTTCCCCCACTGTTAAAATCTCGCCCTTTTTATTTAATTGTAAGCAAATAATCCTAAACAGTGTTCTTGCATGAGTGGATATTACATATATAAAAGCTGTGCGGGAACCAACACTTCCATTTTGTGGGAAATTCCATGATTTTGGAATTTGTTTTAGTTCTGAATCGGAACCAAACCAAAGACTTTCTAAATATTCTGCAAAACAATTTTTGAATGTTTTTTGTTTTGGATCAAAGTTTTTATTTTGATTTTGACTTGTTTTTTTTAGTTTTATGTTGTAATTTATCATGTAAAATAGATTTCAAAACAACTTTTTGTTTTGAAACAAAAAATTGAAGTGTTCCATTATGAAAAAGTCAAAATGGAACTTTTCAGCATTATCAAAGCCTTTCATTTCAATTTGTTTTCAAAATTTCCTCAAAAATCAACCCTTTCCCACAGAAAGTTTTGAGTTAGATGAAAGGATATTTTCCAATGGAAATCCTTTCCATTGGAATTTTTTTTTTACCAGCTCTAATATATACATGTACACCCTATGTGCTTAAAAATCAAAACTGGCTTTTTTTAAAAATTAAAAAAAAAAATTAATGAACCAGCTACAATTAAATTTGCTGTAAGCTATTAAAATAATTTAACATTTAAAAAATATGCTGCCTCACTGCGTCCTCCTCAACTCTGAGTGAGTTAATACTGCTTTTTAAATTATATATAAAATCAAGAACAAAATGCATTTAATTTTTTGTGGTCCACTCAAGCTTATAAATGTCACGGTCATGTTCTACATTAAGTATGTGTATTATTGTTCGTCTTTCTAATAAGCAAGTGCTGGTATTTACATTTTTTCCAAATGGAAGTATTTGCAGTTTGTGTTTGTGCAGAAAAGCTTTTGCCTTAATTACTTTTGGTTTCAGTTTAAGTAGCATGTGCAGCGGGAATGTTTTCTTTATTTGAATTAGTTCATTCAAAGTTGGGAAGCTGATTGGGAGTTGAAAAGGCAGGAAAGCTGGTTTTCTTCTCCAATCTATGAATAAAAAGCAGGTGGAAGACAAAGAAGTCTACTAATTCTAAACATCTGAAGGATTTGGTGCCAGATGTTCAAAGGTATTACATAAGAATGGCCATCCTGGGTCAGACCAGTGGTCCATCTAGCCCAGTATCCTGTCTTCTGACAGTGACCAATGCCTCTGCTCATTCAAAGGGAATGAACAGAACAGGGCAATTACTGAATGATCTATCCCCTATCATCCAGTCCCAGCATCTGGCAGTCAGAGGCTTAGCCATCTTGGTTAATAGCCATTGATGGACTTATCCTCTAGGAACTTACCTAATTCTTTTTGAACCCAGTTATACTTTTGGCCTTAATGATGCTGATAAGTGCCTTTTGGGGGTTTTCAGAAGTACCTAAGTAGGCTGGGTGCTGATTCTCTTTATTCCCATTGATTTCAATGGGAGTTAGGTGCCCAAACTGTGTCGGCACTTTTGAAAATCCCACTATGCACCTATCTGCATCTTTAGGTGCTTTTGACAGTGCTGGAAGCTAACAGATGAGCCAGCACTCTGATCCCTTATGTACCAATCAGCCCTTCTCCCCTTCACAAGGCTGATTGGGGATATGCGAGCTAATTAGCAGATCAGATTGGGAAGGCTGATGAACCAATTGCCCATCAGCTGAGGGGTATAAGAAAGACATAGGGAGGAAGTAGTGGAGAGAGGACCTGGGCTACCTGAGCCTGGAGTGTTCCGAGAGCTCAATAAGAGAGAGCTCTGTTCCTTTCTAGCCCTGTGGGAAAGGGCTAAAGGTGGCGAAGCGCTATAAATAATTTGCTGCACAAGACTGTATTGGTGATGGGAATGTAAATGATTCACATGAAGTTGCCTCTTATTGGACAGAGTCTGAGAAGTTTCTGGGGCATCAGAGTACGGGGACAGAGCATGCCCCGTTACAGTGCCTACATACCTTTGAAAATCTGGCCTATGCTAATCAGAAATAATCCATCAGTTCACTAACTACAGTTAATATTTCCTTTGTTTAAGAAACCAGTTTTAAAGGCAGAGCTTGTTCTGATAAACTTGCTTTTTTTTCTTATGCATCCAGCACAATTTTAAAATGCTGGTTTTGTGTAATTTTAATTGAATTCCAGTTTCCATCCAAGTGCGGCTTGAAAAAAATCACAAATTATCATCTAGTAAATAAGTAATGCATCACTCCCCATTAGCTAACATAATAAACCATGTAAAATTCAATGAAATGTATGTCCAGCTATAACATTGCTAAAGTAAATGGGTATAGAGATAGTGTATCCTCCTGGTTAGCAAAAACAAGTACCAAATTTAGTGTAAAAGCTATATTTAGTTGCAAATCAAGATATTTTAATTGTTACCAACCAGTGAGAATGAACTCTTTTGTTAGTTTGTTTTGTTTTGTTAAGGAAAATAACTAAAAAGTACAAATGCAAGAGAAGATTTAAAATCAGTTCTTAAAATTTAGGTTTCCTGCTTGCTGATTTAAGTCATGATTAACTGTGATGATTTAAATCAGTCCACCCTGATATAGGGTGTGTGTGGAGATCTGTATTTTTATATTATTGTTTATATATAAGCAAATTGTGTGTGAGTGCACATATATTTATGCTCATAATAGCCTCAAACCCCCGTTATTTAAATTTATCACTGACGTAGGAAACCCCCCTGCATTTATCAAGACTTGAGAACCAGGAATGCCTGTGTTTTAATCTCTGACATTGGCTCACTTTGTGGCCTTGGGAAAGTTATTTAACCCTGCCTGTGTAAAATGGAGATTAAAATATTGACCTATCTCGCAGGGGGTTGCATTAATTAGCTGTATTTGTACACATGTTGAAGATAGAAAGCTCCATATTAGTGCCACATATTATTTGTATTAATGATTGGAAATGAAGAGCTAGTGTAGTAGATAACCTGAAGAGCGAGGTGAGCTATGATATGATAATACACATGCTGCTGTGCAAGAATGGGAACTTCTGCAGGGTAAAGCTGAAAACTCAGATGCATCTCTTGCCAACTAGGGATGAGTCGTCCTTGGTTGCTTTTTAGCTGTGTGAAGCAGCTTCTCTTTAAAGAACTAGAGTGAAATCCTGGCCCCACTGAAGTCAATGGGAGTTCTGACATTGACTCTAGTGGGGATGGGATTTCTCCCCTGTATTCTGTGGGCTCCAGTTCCCAAATCCAGATCACTGCTATTACCAGATGAAGGATAAACTATGAACTCTTTATTTAATTTAATCTAAACAGATTACGTAAAGGAATAAATATCCTCATTTCAACTCCTGGCCGCCTGGTTGATCACATCAAGTCCACAAAGTGCATTCACTTCCGTCGTATTCAGTGGCTGATTATGGATGAGGCCGACAGGTAAACTTTTAAGTGCTTAGACATTTGACATGGATAACGAGAACCTCTACAGCTACATTAGATTATGTATTCAATATTTTAAAAATAAGAGATCTAAACCGTCATGCTCCAGGGCAGAAACCAACCACTAAGTGCCTGGGGTTTGGATGATATTTCCCCTCTGGGCAGGTTATTCTACAATTGTCTATTACAGGGATTCTTGCACCTTCTGACACATCTGGTGCTGGCCACTGTTGGAGATGGGATACGGGACTAGATAGGCCACTTGTCTAATCCACTATGGCACGTCCTATATTCCTAATTGGCTCATGTAGCCTTGAGCCTTCTCTTCCTTCTCTTTTCTTCTAGCTTCCCATAATGCCTTCTGTGGTCTCCATCTTCTTGGCAGGATCCTGGACATGGGCTTTGAGAAGGATGTGACCGTGATACTCAATGCTTTAAATGCAGAGAGCGAGAGGCGGCAGAATGTCCTGCTCTCAGCCACGCTCACAGAAGGTAAGTTATAGACATAGTTGCTGGAATTAAGGGTGCTGGGGGTGCTACTGCACCCCCTGGCTTGAAGTGGTTTCCATCATAGACCAGGTTTACAGTTTGGTTCAATGGCTCTCAGCATCCCCACTATATAAATTGTTCCAGCACCTCTAGTTATAGCGCATGCCAAGACCATGCCTCTCTCTCAGATCACACATCTCTCATGTATCGAACATTGACGTTTGTCGAAACGTTTTGCCAATTTCTTGAAAACGTTACACCTACATCGATTTCAAGCCGACCTCTACTGCTCCTCTAGAACAGCATGCGTTGCTCTTGAGGTGCACGTGTTCACTCTACTACGTTAATACTCAAGGAGACAAAGCGGAACGATTTCCTACAATTTACTCGCAGAGAAGCTTCTGCTTCGTGTGTAATGGATTTTGTTTGGTGCAGGAGTAACGAGGTTGGCCAATATCAGTTTGCATGATCCAGTGAGCATTGCCATTGTGGAGGAAACCTGGGACAGAACCACACCAGAGCAGGAAGCCATTGGTTCACCAGCCCGCATGGAAGAGGATGGCTTTGCCATACCGGAGAAGCTCAAGCAGCATGTGGTGGTGGTTCCCAGCAAACTGAGGCTTGTCACGCTAGCAGCTTTTATCCTGGGGAAGTGCAAGGTGAGGTTCCGTGTCTTGTATTCACGCCTGAGTAGAGGGAAGTGGCTCATGAGCAGTTCTACATCCTGTTTTTCTGTAGGGTCAGGCAACGGAAAGTGAAAGCGAGTAGCAGTGTTCTGGTGCATACAACCCAATGGCCGAAGTCATTCCGTGGTCACCTGATTTTGTCTGTGAGCCAAACCCTGAGCTCCTTCCTTGGGCTAAGCTTCCATTGAATCCAAGTCGTGTGTTTTCAAGGGATCTGGGGTTGGGGGACCACACACTCACTCACTCACTCTCTGTCTCCCCCCCCTCCCATTTGGAAACACGAATACCTAAATTGCATTGTGTTCTGATGATGATCAGACTTGGGCTCAATCTAACCTCCTCTGGTCAGGAGTTGTGGAACTAGGGGCCTTCCACTGAGAAATTCCTTCTTTCAGCTCCCAAAGATCTCAGCCTAGGCTCTGTCAGCTGTAGTGTACCTGTGGCATACCGCTGTCTCTGAGAGGGGCATTGCCTGGTCCGTGGCCATCAGTGGTCATGTGTATTATATCTCAGACTTGGATCTGTATTCAGAAGTGAACTAGGAGCCAGAGGAGTGTGCAGGGTGCCAACGTGGAGTGTTCTCCTCTGTCTTCCTAGGTCAGTAGGGAGGCTCCTGTGTGGGATGTGAACTTTTGTTTTTAGCAGCCAGTTTATGTGCCAACATTTTTAATTTGTCCGTTTTCGGATGTATTAGTAATTGAGGTCATTTGGTGATCAGAGAATCGTCAGAGGCTTATAAACATGGCCGTGCACGTGTTCTTGTTCTCCCTGCAGTTTGAAAAACGCCACAAGATGATCGTTTTTTTCTCCAGCTGTGAGCAAGTGGAGTTCCACTACAAGCTCCTCCTGAAAGTCCTGCTGGGAGGTCAAGAGGCTGAAGAACCTGAACGTTTGCCACTCCCCTCTTCCCACTTAAAGTTCCTGCGACTACACGGCAACATGGAACAGGAGGTGAGCACCGCTGAAGAGTGTATTAAAAGTGGAATGGGCTGAGGACGGTCCTCATTTGCCCCGCACCCTAATCTCCTACCCCACAGGAAAAGTGTTTTCACATCCTCTGTTTTGTTCCACAATTACTTCCAATTACCTTCCAGTTACTTGACTGGGGTAAAACTGGTACATCATAATAATACCAATACCTCGGTCTTATATCGCCCCTTTGGTCAGTGGCTCTCAAAGCACTTTACAAAGAAGGTCAGTATCATCATCCCCTCTGGTACATGATGCTAGGACTGGAAAGTTGTCACTCACTGTGCTGTTGAATCTATGCAGCTGCGCTGCTAGACATGTTATGAGTTCTTTATACCCAAGGGATCACATGGTGTGAACAGAACACTGGTGAAGGGGTCTACAGATGCTGTCTTGCAGCAGAAACTTCCTCTTCCTTCTCCTCCTTTTCTGATTGCAGCCCTGGTCAGCCCTCTTAAGTGTGGCAACATGGTCCAGCAGGTAGGGCACAGGCATGGGAGTCCGGAGACTTGGCTTCTATACCGGACTCTGCCAATGATCCATTTTGTGACTTTGGGTGAGTCGTTTCACCTTGTGGGGGCTTCGGTTTCCCCATGCATTAATACGAACAGTGATCCACACCTGCGAAGCGCTACAGAAAAGCTGTGTTGTTGTTTCAGCGTGCTGATGCAGTCACACAATGTTTCCCAGTGGATAAACTTAAACCGTTGCCTCTTTGTGTGCCTATGTTTTCAGCTTTCTGAGGTAGGCAGGAAAGTGCTTTGACTAACAAAGGAAATAATCTTATAAATAACGTTTATTATAAATAACGTTTAGGACTCGGTCAGCCAGTGTATCGACTAACAAGTTGCTGGCCCCATTATTATGGAGCTGAGCAGACTGGCTTTGGCTGCAAAGAACAGTCCCGTGGGAGAGAGTTGTCTGGCAGGGGATTGTATTACAACAACCCAACGAAAGATCACCTAACAAAAGCGACTGGTGTGTTGGTGGTGGACGTGCAGGGCCTGGCTGACCAGCTGATTAGAATGGGATTTGATCCAGAAGGACGCGAGAGGCCAGGAGAAGCGTGTCAGTTTCTGCTGTGAATGTTCATTCTCTCTTAGTAGGAGAGTGAAACGTGTGAGCCATTATCTTTGAAAAGTCAGCAACCCTCTTCCCTGCCCCTCTCCCAGGGGGAGAGCCACTGCCCTGCCCTGAGCAGCACGGCAGAGATGGCAAATGAACAGTGCTCATTTGATGAGGCAAGAGGTGAAGAGCCATTGTTTTTCTCACTCATTCCCATCCTGCCAAGACCAGGAACATGTGCTTCACTGTCCTGCAGTCTGGCCTTCCCTCAGCCTGCCCGCCTGAGAGTGAGCAGGCCTGGTCTGGTCCGACTCTACCCCGACCAGCTGTTAAGGCAACAGAACACCACTAAGTAGCTGGCATCAAGGGAAGGGTTTTGCCTTTTTAGTACCCAGTGTGTAATTAGTGCTTGATGTCTTCAAATTAAGAGCATTAATGGAGCTAAATTGTGGATCCCATATGGTACTGCTGAGCACGGCTGCTGTCGGTGTCAACAAGATGCAACGTGTTCTTTTCTTTCGTTTTTGTTGGGCGAAGGCTGGGCATGTCAGAGAGGCCCAGGCTTCTATTGTCCTTCCTCAGAACAGAATGATATGTCCAGCCGGGGGGCAAACGGGTAAAGATTCCATAGACGTCTCTTTCATCTAGCCCTCTGCTAGAAATAGACCTATATTCCTCGGGATCGGAGTTGGAGCAAGGCTTGGAGCGTGGGGGCAGTTTTACCTTGGGGGGGAAAAAACTGCTCGCAGTAGATACCAAAGAGAAGTGTGATATTCTTGAGGCTAGAGACAGTCTGAGCTAGAGAAATGGAAAGGGTGAGATCTAAGACATCTCAGGAAAGTAGATTGGGACGTGTTGACTGACTTCCCTCAGCTGAGAGGCGAGGTGGCGGAGACCAGGTGGTACATTAAATTAAAGCATTAGCCATTTGCCTCTGGAGACCTGGGTTCAAGGATTGCCTCACGTGGGTTTGATGGGGTGATGTAAGTCAAAGTCCCTGTTTATTTCACAAGAAAATACAGTGTGATTGGATGCAATAAACAGCGTCAGTTCAGGAAAGGCCCATGGCTGGAATAACAAAAGATTCTGCAGGTAGACCTGCAGGTGAATTGGTAGAGCTGTGTCAGGTCTGGGCAGAGCTGTGTGAGGTGATGTCAGATGAGCCCATGTTCCAAGCTCTGTTAGGGTGAGAGACGTCTCTGGTGAGAATTCAGTTTGTATGGCCCAGGACTTGGTGACAAGGCTAAGCTGCTTCCCCACATGCGAGCCTCTTCCTGGGGATGCTGATGGGGGAATGGCAGGGAGGGTCTCGCTTTAGAGTGGGTTTGAGAAAATGTTTCATTCAGCGCAGCAGTTGATGATTCTAATACTTAAACCCCCCAAGATGTGAGTGCTGCATGGATTGGGGGAGGGGAAAGCAGTGATTTTTTTTCCCCACTGTCACAGTGCTTTAACCCAACGTGACCACTAGGGGGAACCTCATAGACTCTCCCAGGCAGAGTTATTTCTAAGCCAGCAACTAGACCTGCCTCCCTCTAGTCCAATGTAAACTACTGTTTCCTTCTTTGGTGGATCCTTTCCCCACAGATACAGGTGATCCTTTTCACCATACTAACATCACCCCCCTGCAACTTCACAAGCCCTTGGGATGTTGGCCATCTTGAGTTGGGCGTATGCATTTGGGCCAGCACCAGACGTTGCACTTTCCTTGATGGTGTGATAGTCTTTACTGTGTGGAGTGACACCACTATTGCCATAGATTTTTTCACTTCCAAATCTCCTAAGGTGCTGGGATGGAGCCGTAGAATTCCACCCACTTCTCGAAGCTGGACAGAAATGATGGAAGATGAAGAGGGTTCAAACAGAAACTGTTAAATTTTCTTTATTTGCTTTACAACAGAGTATAAACATGTGCTGTGTTTCTTTTATCCTCTAGGAAAGGACAGCAGTGTTCCAGGAGTTCTTACAATGCAAGACAGGCATCTTACTTTGCACTGTAGGTAACGTAGAATGTAACATGCAAAAGACTATATGGGTCTTGATCTGGGAGGCAGTATTGTCTACTGGTTAGAGCGGATGACTGGGTGATAGGAGACCTTGATCTAATCCCGACTCTCTAGGGGAAAGTCATTTATCTGCTGTATGCTGAAGTTTCCCTCTCTTGTAGAATAGGAACTCTACCGCTCTTCGTAAATTACTTTATGATCCTTGCATGGAAGGCACCATATATAAAGTGTCTGTATACCTGCATGTCTTGGAAAATGTGTCTATCTGTGGCAGCTTGCCCAACGTGTGCAGTAAACGAAAAGCTGTCCTGACTTGATGACTATTCCAAGGTTAAAGACACAAACATGCAGGGATTAAAGGGAAGACCAACCAGAGGACTACTTCATTATAAATGTGTTTTGCTTTGTTGCTGTCCATGGCTTGCCCTTCAAGCTTCCTTCAGGGGTGGGGAGGGAAATTGCCATGCTCTACTGAAGTTTGCAGGCACCCTTGTGTAGATGTGGCACCTTCCACTTCTAGCTTCTGACCCGTCGGTGCCACAGCTAGCCTGCTGCAATGGTGCAGAAGGCTGCACGATTTGCTCTCTAATAGTGGCAGCTGTTGATCTGAAAACGTGTGAATCTTGGTGATTTCGACACACGGCAAACTTGTAAATTACAGTGATCAGGAGTAATTAGAGCTGAGAAACCCTCTCCAGCTCTGAAATTACTCTCGTTACTGTGACACATTGTTCTTAAAGGAAAAAGGTGGCAGGTTTGGGGGGGGTTTGTAGTTTATTGTATGGTATGTAAAAGCCATAGTTTGCACTGGGATTACCAAGCCTGCATAGAGGAGCCTTTGACTCAGCGTGTTGCTTCTCCCAGATTGTGACACCTGCAAAATGTGCCTATCTGATGCTAGTCCAGGCCCCACTTCCGTTTGCTGCTTGACCTTGATCAAGTCACAGTGCCTCAGTTTCCCCCAACAGTATTGAGAGACTATTTATCTACCGCGACATGAGGAGGGCTGTAAATCTTATTAATTCACTGATGTTTGTAAAATACTTTGAAATTAATACCAGGTAATGCTAAATACTATATAACTGTTATTTACTAGAATCTGTGCTCATGCTATATATTAAAAGCATTTTCAGGGAAGTAGCTCATTACAAGTCAACCGCAATTTAGAAAGCAGCATGCAAGGCTGTGTGAAGGTTCGATGGGTAGTAAATGTAGGTTTGCTAACAACATATTGCTCCATTTTTCTGCAGAAGTGCAGATGGAACATAAACACGTTGTCTTTTCTGTGTGGCATATGTTCAAAGTTATCGAGTCTGTAGTTTTGGTCCCTCCATCCCCCATCAGTGCACACATTCAGATCTGCTTTAAGTGGCTGGATGAAGTGCAAGGGCAGTGAGCAGCAAAATCCACCCACAGAAGTGAGGGAGCATTATAATGAGCATGGTGCAGCTGTGCAAATGCACCTCATTGCTGAATTTCGATACATTCCCACCTCTTCTGAGCTGGTCACATGGCACAAAGGGCTGGTTTGAAAATTCCTTTTCACTTGGAACTTTGATCCAGGTTTGGAACCCAGAATCCACAGAAATGAAAGGCTGGTGGCTTAACACTCTTCCTCCTGCTAATCATTGTGCCATGGTTTTAACTGGGTGATTCTCGACATCTAAGACCTATGCTGTACCGCATCACGCGAGGGCACAGCAGTTGGTGGTGGGTGAAGCTTTCTGCTTCCTTAAAACAGCCTGTTGCTTTCTAGTTATGTGCCGCGATCATCTTTAGCACAAATCTAGGCAAAGGCAGTTGGAGAACTAGCCTGTTTTTAAACAGGAGTGGTTCCTTGGTTTGTGCCCTGCTTTGTTCCTTTGTCTCAAGCCATGACTAGGCGGCTGCAGGAGTATGTCTCTGGGCTGGTGATCTTTAGTTAAGTACATTTATACTCCGCATGGACCCTTTATAAACAGCTGGGAAGTTGGTGTTGGTTCCTGGGGCTCACAGGATCCAGCTGCAGTGGGGCTGGGTGGGAAATGGGAGAACGGGAAGTTTCAGTTACCTTCTTCCCAGGTAGAAGTAGAGAGCAGAGACTGAGCCTTGTACAAAGAGACGGAGATGAATCAATTTGCTGGGTACCGCAATTTGCCGGGGACCTGCTCCTGGAAGAGACAATTCAACAGGAAGCTGGACTGGGAGAGGAGACGCAGTCTACGCCAACCTCCTTTACAAGATACTCGGCGCTTGGGTGCAGGGTGGGGACAGACGGGAAGATAAATAAGAAGAAGGGGAGCAGACAGAAAGATACTTGTGGTACTCTGGAGACCTGGATTCTGTTCCCTCTTCTACTACAGCCGTCCTCTGCAATCCTGAGGATGTCACAGAGGGCTTGTCTGTATGAACATTTAGTTTGTGGCAAACCGGGGTATAAATCTACCCTACACTAGCCTGCTGAGCACTAACTGTCCACGTGGACCCTGCTGGTGCACCCTAACGGTTCCCTAGTGCGCTTTACCTACCCCGCCATGAAATGGAAGTTGGTTAAAGCACATGAAGGAACTTTTAGTGTTTAGCTGCAGGATCCACATGGATCCTTAGCATGTGCGGACTAGTGCAGGGTCAAGTCACACCCCAGCTTATCACAAAGGAAGTGTTTGCACAGACAAGCCCTTCCTCTCTCTGTGTGCCTCACTGCCCTGTCTGGAAGATGTGGGCCATATAAATACCTTAGGGAAAGAGAGACACTTAGCACTATTCCTGAACTGCAGGTGCCACCTAACACAGACGTCCCCGGGGCAGCCAGGAAATGTGCCTTCCTCCTGCCCACTAGTTCACTGCTCTATCTGACAGCCGGTGCCTTCTATACAGTTGTCATTCCCTGACTAGCAATGAAAATGTTTCACGTGGGGGAGTTCCCAGCCCCTTTACTACAAAGCCCTCTACGTGCTTTGTACCCAGAAGGTGCCAGGTCTTGCTCACTAAACCCAGACTTCTGTTACTTAACAAAGAGACGTGGGGGGAAAAAAAATCCCTCTTCTTTCTTATTTCTCTGTGACTCTGACATCTCTCTCACTCATCTTTCCACGGTGGCAGTCCCTGTGATGCTTTGTTTCTTTTATTATTTATATAATATAATATAATTTATTTTATTTTTTTTTTGCCATGCAAAGTAGTCTGGCAAACAAAGAATAGAGAGGCTGTGACTCTCCAAGGGTTTCCTGCAGTTAAAGTTCTGCGCAGCTTCCTTTGGGATGTGCCTTTTAAACAAGTTCATCTCTTCCAGGGAGAGAGGAAAGATCATTTGGAGATTGTTTGCTGTTTATTCAGTCACGCTAACTCATCTTGCCAGTTTTCTGGCGGCCCCAGCCAAGAGCTTTCGCCTCTGACAGCTTCTGTGCTCTCTCCTTCCTCCTCTGATTACGCAGCCCAATCTGTCACCCTGCCGGTGGGGGTCTCTACCCTGCTGATGGCTTTCCACACTCGGCAGTAATGACTTTTGGCAGGCCGGGTAGGCACGATAGCTCCTTCCCCAGCTCGGAGAGCTGTTAGGCCCTCTCTCCCTGTTAGCTAAAGCACTTTGTGAGGTTCTTTGGTAAATAAATGAGTCATTTTAATCCAACTGACAGCCTGGCACCTGAGCAAGCTGCCTTCCATCTGTACTTCTAGGCCTCATGTAGGCAACCAATTGTCAAGCCCAGGGTCTTCAAGACCTCGCCATTGAGTGTCTTTCAAAAGCGACTTTAGTGATTTCTTTCACCGTCATTAGGTTGCACAAGAGCGACCAAGTGAACCGAGGCCCAAGCAAAAGTTTCATGTCCATCTGTAATGTTTTGTGGCAATTCACCTTATTTAGCTTCCTCAGTCACTTCCCCGACCCCTCATCCTGCCACAGGCAACTAACACAATCTGGTGACAAGAATCGGTGAGAGCAGAAATTCCACCAATTTCAGTGGTTCCCCAGGCTGGATACGTCCTGACGCCATGCCCTTCTGCGGCTTCCCGTCTAGCTGCAGATGGGATCAGATGAAACACGTGTATACGGCTTCTGCGTTTTTTTTCTTATTGCTCTATTGCTGTTCCTTTCACATCATTCCTGTAAAATAGCCTCCATGTTCCTCCCACTCCCGGCTGGAAGGCCCATCGCTGTTGAGAGCTGTGGAGGCAGTTCACTCAGGCACCAGGTGGGAGGAGGAGCTCCTGGCTTGGGCCAGCAGGGATCCCTACAGCTGATTAAGGAGTGGTGTTGATAGGCTGCAAAGGGCATTTTCTCGCTTGTGTCATGTGCCGTGGAAAAACTAAGGGGAGCATTAAAAGGAAGATCCTCTGGACTTCCTCAGGGATGCAGAATAGTATTTTCTCACCTCTAATCCCTGGGTCTCTATCGTTTCCACTAAAGATGTGAAGTTAAGAGCCAGATTTTCAGCCCCAGCCTCTGTTTTTGCGGGAGCAGTTCTTGTGCCAACAAATAACTGTGGTCTCCTTTTTGCACTCACTGATTTGCAGGCCTGGCTCTTCGTAGCTAAGTGATAGCTACCTAGTTGTGTTTCAAAACAGCTGGGTAGAGATGGAATTATTGATATTTGCACCAGCAATTTCTTTGGGGCTCAAAAGCATAGGGACAGTTACTTGTGGGCACAAAACTCCACTTGCAGAAATGGAGGCCACATGCAAATCTGGCCCTAATTGTACTAGAGATGATATCCGCATGTTCATTACTGACCTGCATTGTACTGTGCCTGGTGTGCTCCAACTCATTGAGTTTGGCAGCGTATCTAGTTATAAAGTGGACCGGGGCGAGTCAGCGCTCATTCTCATAGATCTGTTGAGTGTGGTAAATCCCACTTCTATTAACTGGGTCTTAAGAATGGAATCGAATAGCTGGGCGGAACTGAAGGAGTTGGTCAAATCAAATTTAAACCTCATTGACTTCACTGATGCCAGGATGGGCTGGTCTACACTTGGGAGGGGGATCGATCTGAGATACACAACTTCAGCTACGCGAATAGAGTAGCTGAAGTCGAAGTATCTTAGATCAAATTACCTGGGGTCCACGTGGCGCGGGATCGATGGCCGCGGCTCCCCCGTCGACTGTGCTACCACCGCTCGCTCTGGTGGAGTTCCAGAGTCGACGGGGAGCGCGTTCGGGGATCGATATATCACGTCTTAACGAGACATGATATGTCGATCCCCGCTAGATCGATTACTACCCGCCGATCCGGCGGGTAGTGAAGACGTACCCAATGTAACCTCTGGAGCATTGAGAACAGCTAAATGTGACCATCTAGTTTAGTTAGTGCTTGTAAAATGGATCTTTATCCCCACCGTTCTGTAGCTCTGTCTGGTACCTCCCCAGTGGAGATTCCCAAAGAATATTTTATGAAGGTTTATGAAGTAAGAATCTCATCGCATATGGGGTGTCCCAGCAGCAGAAGGCGAGTAGGCTGAGAGTTCTACCTCCTAACTGTACTGTGCTGCTTTCACGTTACACCGTTTATAGGAATAGGATCCACAAGAGAGCCCCGTGGGCTGATATTGAGGAATCTTTGAAGGTTTGCGGAGCTTTCCAATTACCAGTAAATCACATGACCTAGTTTTAAAAGGCTAATATAATCCTCAAGAGAAAAATGTTAGTAATTAGCAAACTAAACTGAATCCTGCTGCTGATACTGAGAAGGCGGCATGGCCTAATGAACTGAGCAGGAGGCTGGGAGCCTGGAACTCCTGTTAAATTCTAATCCCGGCTCCTACCCCGACTCTCCGTTAGGACAAGAATTAACCTCTTCATTTTTCTCTCTGCTTTCCCAAGTGTACAAGGGGGATAATGCTATTTACAGCAGTGGTTCTCAACCTGGGGCTTGTCAGAGGAACAGGGGGTATTGGCCTCTCTGATCGTCCATACTGCTGCAAAATTGATTTCTCCTTATTTATTTGCTTTCATGTTCTTATGTGACGTTTTGCACCTCTGCTCATCTGACTGTAGGAGTGAGCCGTTTCATAATGAGCGCTTCAGAACGAAAGGATGTGTTGACTTCTAAGGGTGTGTCTACACCGCGGCTGGCCTGTGCCAACTGACTTGGGCTAAGGGGCTGTTTAATTGCAGTGTAGATGTCGGGGGTCAGGCTGGAACCCAGACTCTATGGCCCTGCAAGGTGGGAGTGTCCCAGAGCTCAGGCTGCAGCCCCAAGCCCAAACTACATCATAATTAAACAGCCCCTGAGCCCAAGCCCCATGAGCCTGCGTCTGCTGGCACAGGCCAGCCGCAGGTGTCTACATGTCCTAAGTGGGCTCTGTGCAAAGTGGCTCCTGTTTGACTTCACTTGGAGCCACAGTGTAACCTGGCTGGCGTTCATGGGAAGGCCTTTGCTGCTGCAACTTCGGCTCCCTAGTCTTTCACGTGCGTGGGAGTTGCATGAAAACACTTCAGTGGGCGGCTGACACATTTTTAGCACATTGGGCTCCTGCTTACATTCTTAATGTGTTCTATTTTGCAACGAGCTGAAAGATACATGTGTTCCAAAACATTTCCCAGCAGAGTCAAATCTGCATACCTCCACTGTACTGAGTGGGGCGATTGCTAAATCCAAGGAATGTGTAAGGATGATACTGATGCTGCAGAAAATCAGGGATGGGGATTTTGAAGCTATTTTGGGGGCAATATTGAAATCTTAAGACCTGTTTGAAGAGGTTTGTTTGTAATCTGCACTGGCTGTGGGTATGTCAAAGGACCTCACTCAAAAGTCCTTCTGTAAGTTGGTGGGCCAGTTCACTAGACAGTGCTTCATGTAACTCTCCCAGCCGTGGCAGGATTTCAGACCCTTCTCTTCAGGGTTGAGTTTTATTGCTCCAAATCAAAACCCGTTTGGTGTAAATCAAATGGCAAGATCAGGTCCCACCTGCTCCCTGCAAGTCTTGGTCTCTACTGAAGTGCTTGTTGGCCTTTTAAATAAGAAGCAGGTGCTTGGAAAGTAAACTCGGGCAAGTCGGTTTCCACTCCTAGGCTCTCATGCACTAACAGAAGCTGCAGCGTCCAGATTGCAAACATTGCATTGGACGGCTTAAATTCAAACAGTAACATTGTTTTCACAGGGCTACATACTGCCACCCTTAGTCACATTGGGTAGTATCTTACTGTCTGAGCACTTCCATTTTCTTCAGTGGCACAAATCAAGAAGCAAGGCATCACCAGCATGAGGGTGGCAGAATCTCTCCCATAGAATTTAAAGGGTCAAAGACTCAGCTAGCATAAATCAGCATAACTCCATTGAAATGGGTATATTTACATCTGTTAGGGTCTGGCCCAAAATAATGAAAATATTTCTGGTTTTGTAAAAACCCTTTTTCGACTTTTGTGTTTGTTTAACTCAGAAACATTGTTTAAATGGAGACGGATAGAAAGTTTAAAAACCAAAGTATGTAAAACTCCCATAGCCTTAAACTCTGCATCTCCCCAAATATTGATCATTCTGAGTGCATTGTATCTGCCTTTATTTTTTAAGCTGTTTTTAAAAATTGTATTTTTTTAAATTACTTTTAAAGGATGTCGCAGCACGAGGATTAGACCTGCCTCAGGTCACATGGATTGTTCAGGTAGGTTTCCATGTGTGCGCGTGTAAATAAATATTATACCCTCGTGTTCAGACAAGTGAAACCTTGTATTGATACTCTTATACCTGGATACAATCCCGGAAAGCCGGGGGTCCATGCGAGGTCGAGTCCTACAGACTCTGTGTAAGTGCCATAGTCCACAGGTGCAGTAGTTCCCACAAGATCGGGGCCCAAGCTTCTTTCTGGGTCACTGGATTTCCAGGTACCCTCTTGTTCCACAGCAGGATTTGCCCTTCTTTTCAGTGGGAGCTGGATCGAGCCAAGGTTGTAAGTTCAAGGACTGAGGGAGAGAGGAGTGTATGTGAAATACTGTTTTTAACTTTAAAATAATTGTAAGTTTTACATGTTGACTTTGAAAAATACAAGGAGAAATATTGAACCCAAGATTTTCACGTACTAAGGGTCCATCTCCATTGCAGCTGGGGGGTGTAATTTGTGCACGCTCTAGCTTTGATCGAGCCAGCATGTTAAAATTAGCAATGTGGCTGTGACAGCAGCTCAAACTAGCTGCCCAAGTATAATCCTGTCCAAGATCCTAAGTACGTACCTGGGCAGCTGGCCTAAAGTGCTGCCACCTCCCAGCAGCAGTGTAGATGGACCCTAAGTGACACTTGGGTAATAGCATGGTGTGTTCACCAACAAAAAGGCTTTTTAATTTCTAGCACGTTGTGGCGGGGCGATGACTCACTGGCGCAGCGCCTCCTGCTGGTTGTCCAGGGAATTCGCTCTTTTCCCGCTCCAGAGCGCCCTCTGCAGGCCGGATGATGTCTTGTCTGCCGCTGGCCCCCGTGTCCCTCCGGGACCCTGGTGCCCTTTGCCCAGGGGTTCTGCCCACCTCAGCAACCCACAGTCTCTGGGCCTCCCCTCCCAGGGGAACCCCCTACCCTCTATCCCCACCTTGCCTCAGTGGCTACTGTCAGTCTCCATCTAGCCCCCGCTCACTGGGGCAGACTGCAGTCTATAAACCACTCATCATCAGCAAGGGGGATTGGACTAGCTGCCTCTGCCTATTCCTAAGCCACCCCTCTGCAGCCCTAGTACCCTTTTTGTGGGCCCTTAACTCGGCCTGCAGCCTGGGGCTTTTCTAGGCTGGAGCTCACCAGCTCTTTCTGCCCTTCCGCAGCACTGCTCCACCCTAGGTACCCTCCTCAGCTTCCCAGGCAGCCAGGTCCTTCTCTCTCTAGGGAGCTAGAGAGAGTGTCTCTGTCAGTCTCTGGCTCTCAGCCCTCTTATAGGGCCAGCTGTGGCCTGACTGGGATGTAGCCCCACCTGTGGCTGCTCCCCCCAATCAGCCTAGCATTTCTCCGCCACAGCCCTCTCCAGGGCTGCTTTAACCTCCTCAGGGCAGGAGCAGGGTGTCCACCCCGCTACACACACTCCTCAATGTAATTAGTCTGATTTTAATTTTAGCTACCAAAAAAAAAAAGATAGCCGGTCAGCGGAGGATGGGGGCCAAGTCTTTAGTTTGCAGGCCCAATTTATTTATCCAAAGATATAGTTGCCAATGCTTGAACACAGTGCAAATTATCTAAGGCCTAGGGTGACTTCTGCTTGTCCAGAAGGCGAAAGCTCCGATGTCCTGAGAGCAGTGTCCCTCAGCACTGACCTGCAGGGAGCAATTAGATTGCTCACAGCATCTTATTCACACCTCTAGCCAGTGGAGATTTTGCCAAAGGGCGCAGGTATAAACACTAAAATGGGCTTTGGTCGTTGGTTTTTTTCCAGGTAAACACAGAGGGCTTACTTCTAAGCAGTATCTCTGTGTGTTGGTTTTCCAAGAAGGTTGCGGGGAGGAAGTGTCCCACTTTATAGGACCAGATCCTGCAAATTTAATGCCTGTTGAAGTAAATGGGTGTCACTGGTTTATTACTGGGCGCTTAATCAAAATGTTAATAGTGTTTGATGGGTAGAGCTGGAAAGACAATTGGTCTGTATCCCTCACCTACCTCCAACATAAAGAGCTGTGCACCGGTACTTTGCTTGTGGTTGTTTTCTGCCGAGTAACTAGCACCGATTCACTTTAAATAAACCAGAGCAATTTAGCCTGACTTTGAATTTGAATCCTTCTCCTTTCTCCTGGCAGCTTTCCTCTCAAATGTACCGCAGGCAGCTTATTGCTCTGTGTGGGCAATCTTGTTTTAAAAAAAAAAAAAGGCAAACAGATTACTGACAAGCCTGTGTAGAAATAAAATGTAAAAAGCGAAGAGAGACATTGAGATGGGGAAACTGTCCTATTATCTGAAACTTGGCCAATGTGTCACATTCTCATGTCAAAACCCTGCTATGCCTGATGAGGCTGGGTTGAGTGATGGTTCCAGGGATCAGTCCGATGGGTTCTTTATAAACAGCCCCTTTCTAAGGAAGGCAAGGCCCCCGGATCCTTTCTAGGGTAATAGACGAGGTGCCTTGTTTATAATTAACACACTGTGTTCTGTTAATTCCTCCTTTTCTCTCTCCTGTTTCCTTTTGAAGTATAACGCTCCGGCTTCGCCTGCAGAATACGTCCACCGAATTGGGAGGACGGCTCGGATTGGCTGTCACGGGAACAGCTTGCTCGTCCTGACTCCTTCGGAGGCAGAATATGTCAACTCGCTGGCTTCTCACAAGATTAAGTGAGTCAGAAACCTGAACAAAAGTTTCAGCTCATCTCAGCTAATTAACCTTCCATGGCACTTGCAGAGGGACTGGGTCTTGTACGGGTTTTAATAAGAGTTATTAATTCTTGTGCTTCAGGACTAGCCACAGAATGGCAAAAAGAGAGAACTAACACCTATAAAATCATCAGTATGACACATTTACTGTGGGGGGGATGGCAAGGAAGGGATCTATTGTGCACAATTGTTACCTTTAAAGCCGTGCATTCAGACCTTGCCTACTGGAGGTCACAAGTCAAGTGAGCATCTCTAATGGCTACTGGACACTTGCCCATGTTGTCAGAGTTCATGCAGAAATCCAGGACTGGCATAACTGGGGAGTTAGAGGTCACAGTTGAGAGAGAGTTGACCAAGCTGTGCCATATGTTTAGGCCCAGGACTGCAATAGTAGAGACTGTTGCAAGTCCTATTTACGAGAGTCTGGTAGAACTGTACAGGGCCCCGGCACTGGCATGACATGAGTGTTGCAGGCGCAGAGTGAGGTGTATTTGCAAAGCCCGGGGAGGAGGCTTCAGCAGCACTTGCCAGCTCTGGCTAGTCAAAGAATGTGGGAGTAGGGCTGAGGAAGGCCAGACAGGATGCCCAGAGCCTACATATGGATGGCTGTTCGGCAGTCTGCAGGAAATGCGGTCTTAGTTCTCAATGGACAAGCATCCACATCACAAAACCCACCACCCTGTTAGTCCCTCTCTCAGCTCCCTCCTGAATAAAACCAAGGATGAACGTGTCTTGAAGCCTGAATTGCCTTCTGACCCTTAGAGGTGACCCAACATGAGGTCCATAGAGATGTGGGAGAAGTTTGTACTGCCTCTGCCTGCGTTGTGTATAAATAGGAGTTCTGTGTCTGGGAGCCATCAGTCCTGAAGTTGTTGTGAACACTAAAGTCTTCCTCACAATTTAGGAGAGAAAGAGCCTACCTCTAACCAGGGCTGTGCATCCTAGCGTGAATCCTCCCCATCCTTGCTAATCACTGCTGCTTTGGAGCGCTCTTTACTCTACCACCCTGTCCCAACCGCCTCACCAGCCATTTGGACATTCACGCCTTCCTGTGCTTCTCGTATCAATGTCTCTTGTCGTTCAGAACAACAGCCAAGTCAAATCACTGCAGTGCAGACCCGTAAACGACAATACACAAACGAACTGGCTTTTATTTTGTGGGTGTATAAATGGGGTGGAGCCGCCCAGATTCTAGTTTGGTTTTGAATTCTTGAAATAAACTAACATTGGCAACAAATAGCGGATTCTTCTAGGCGGTGAGCCATTTAGTGGTCTAACAAAGAGCCATCCATCATCCCAGGAAACAATCTATTAAGCAGACACCAGCAAGACATGGAGGTCTAAGCTGACAGATTTTTCTCCCTCTCCCCCCCCATGTAACAAGTAGCACTGACATTTTAAAGGTGAAATCCCACATTATTGTGAGTTTTTAACTCCAGATGGAAAGTTTATTTTTGTTTCTTTGACGGGAAGGGGTAAAGAGGTAAAACTGCCTGTTTTTATTTTACTTTAATTTTAATTAGCAAAGTTTCATCCTTTGGGGTATTTTTGACACGTTTAAGGAGCGGTATCTCCTGAGCAGTTATACCAGCTAAGGAGACCTGTTGTTGAGCTGGTCGCGGCTCATTGGGTGTCCTTAGATGTTGCGTGCCACAGCTTGCCCGGAGGAGTTGTATGTGAATGTATTTTAGCCGTTCTGAAATCAGTACAGCCAAATTACACTGAGTATATTGTCTGATTTTTTCAATGTAATCCTCGTAATAAAACTTGCTTGCCATAAGATTACGGGCCTCTAGAAGAGTGGAGTGTAATTCACCCACAGTTACCTGATCGGAAAAATGTGTGTCTAATTGGGGCAGGCGGGTGGCTTGGCTTGTATGTAGTGGCATATCTTGTTCTCTTCCAAATCATCGTGCCAGTGTATGTGAGGGGGCAACAGACTAGAGAGGAGTGCTGATGAATTACCAGAAAGATTCGGAAAGGCAGCTTGAAGCTCAGGGCAGCAAGTGCCATCCATACAAATTGCCCCCACACTTCATAAACTGAGCATTACGGTGATAATCCTGACAATTTAGATTAGGGTAGAGGGCAAAAGACAGCAGGCGCTGGACTGCCATGATAACTTTTGTTCCCGGATCTTCTTTGTATCTTTCTATGAAGCCTGCATAAGTTGTTTGGGTTTGTATTTTGTTTCTTTGCTTAGCTTAAAATATGCTTTAAATTAAGTCCTGATGGGTTTATCGATATGTAAAATACTAGGTAAAATGTGTGTTTCTAGGAAGACAAAGCGCAAGACAGGTTGCTGGAGTTTTGTTGTAAATTAACAGAGCTGTGCTGATTTATGCCAGCTGAGGATCTGGTCAGGCGGATTTTTTCCTCCCCCAGTGGGCATTGGGTTTAGGTTCAGAACTGTCGACAATCATAAATAATCAGAGCAGCCGCGGCTTGTTCCTGAATGAAAATCTATTTCAGAATTAGGAATGACTACCTTTGAAATCGGCAATCACTCTCAGTTAATTTTCATCTATACCTAAAGTCGTTATTTGACTTCTAAGATCTCAGAGCAGGGTTAGGCTTTGCCAAAACCATTCCATTTTGGCTTTGCTGAGAATGGTAATACCCAGTGGGTTCAGGAATGCTGTATGGTTTCCTTTGCAACTTTGTTTTCTTGCTGTGCGTAATTTAATGTTACGTTTTCCCTCCCTAGCCAGAAATTCTCTCTCTCCCTGTCATTTCATATGTATTTCCCTCTTCTTTTTAAGGTTAGATTCCGCAATGGTCTGCCTCAGCCCTGTTTGTAACTAAAAGCTTTTCCTTCAAAGGAAGGAAGCAAGAAGCAGAAGAAAGTCGGCGAGATATGGATATATATATTTTTTGCTTATGTATCTTTTAGTTCCTTCAAGTGTAATCTACCGGCGCCTGCTTCGACAGCCATCAGATAATTTCTTTATCTCCTAACGGCTGCCTAACTAATTTATGAAGGAAAGCGTATCCACGTGAAGGCACGAGTCATTCCCCCCCTTACATATCCCCCATTCCCCCTTTGCATGATGCTCCCTGCTGTGAACTGAGTTCGCATATCTATAAGGCTGTGAGCTGGCACCACGCCAGGAGAGAGGAGAAGGGGGTGACATATCTCAGGCAAATCACTGTCAAAGGCTTGACATGTTCATTCATAGCTCTGTCAAAGCAACCTTTGGGGGTATGGGGAGAAATGCCTTTCTCTTGGTTAAGTGGTTGCCATTTATGTTTTAATTTACAGTTATGCTTTTCAAAAACAAACAGAAAAATCCTCAGTTGTCTTTTTATGCTCCATTTCCCTTCCTTCCATTCCCTCCCTCCCCTTTCCTTTCTCTACCTCTACATTCTCTGTGAAGGAATCTTCTCTGTGCAGTATTTCCTAGCTGCATAAGAGCGGATGCTTGCGTTCCACATAGGCTGGAATCTTGGCCAATGCAGAACCATAACTCACAACCTTTTGGACCGAATCATAACTTCTCTGGACTGGCTCTGCTCCTTCCTTGGCATGTCATGAACTTGATGTTGCAAGAAGTTGTGTTCACTTTGGTTCCTTTAACTGGGTAGGACTGAAACAGCAGAGATGGTGTGGTACTGCAGGTCAGGATCAAGGTTCGTAAGCAGAACGGTAGGGGGGAGCTTTCCCATGTGCCATGCTTGCATTTAGTAGTGTGATTTAGCGAATAAATTGTGGAGCTGTCAGTATTTACTCTTGGGTTCCGTTCCTGGTTCTGCCATTGATTCCCTGTGTGACCTGGGAAAAGTTATTTAACCTGTCTGTGCCTCTTTTTCCATAGCTGCAAAATAGGTCACTATTGTTCTCCCTGTCTTGCAGGGTATTGTGAGGATCAAGATCAGTTCCTATTGTAAAGTGCTTTGAGATCCTCAGATGCAGACACTGAAGTGCAGAGTATTATTATTAATCTCTGAATTCACCAAATTTAAGAAAACAAAAATAATACCTTTCAGAATCCTTACATTCCTATGACACCTTTGATCCAGAAAGATTCCTAAACACTGGTCCAAACTCTGCTCTTCTGTAAACAGGTATAAATCCATAGTAACTCCGTTGACTTTGGTGGAGCAACTTTGGCTTTACATGAAAATAAACACCTCTTGTGACACTTGGCTATGACACCAGATTGTCTCCTTTATTGCAAAAGGCTCCATGGGATTTTTAATGATCACAAACAGGCAGGGCATTGGTTTTACACGTAACCAGGAAGAGATGTTGAAGTTTCACTTTTTTGACTGTGATCCCAGAAAGGAAAGAAAATAAAGTCTTAGGGCTGGCATTGAAAATGGCCGCTGAGGCTATGTCAGACTTGGTGAGTGAGCTTATCCAACAGGGAGTCTGTGTCCAATCAGCCCTAACCCGAGTAACATTGCAGTCAGTTGTAGTGATTGCAAGATCTAGTGGGAAAGAGGAATAACTTGGCTGGGAAATGGATGCTGCAAGCTAGTAAAACAAAGTCCTTTACAGTGTTTTGTTTTGGGGGATGGTGAGGCATGGAAAAATCCTGCTGATCCCACTCTTTTCCCCTAGCCTCTCAGTCCTTTGTTGCTGTCACCATCTTTCTGGATGAGAATAGACTGATCCTAGGAGCTCCTTAATCACATGAAGAGCATCATCGTTGAGTGACAATGAGGCTGCTTGGTACCTGCAGCAGGGCTGTATAGGCTGCCTTTATAGAATCATTGAAATGTAGGACTGGAAGGAACCTTGAGAGGTCATCTAGTCTAGTCCCCTGCACTCAAGGCCACACTAAGTATTAACTAGACCATCCCTGACAGATGTTTGTCCAACCTGCTCTGAAAAATCTCCAACAATGGAAATTCCACAACCTCCCTAGGTAATTTATTCCAGTGCTTAACCACCCTGACGGTTAGGAAGTTTTTCCTAATGTCCAGCCTATACTGCCTTTGCTGCAATTTAAACCCACTGATTCTTGTCCTATCCTCAGAGGCTAAGGAGAACAGTTTTTCTCCCTCCTCCTTGTAACAACCTTTTATGTACTTGAAAACTGTTATCATGACCCCTCTCAGTCTTCTCTTCTCCAGACTAAACACACCCATTTTTTTCAATCTTCCCTCATACGTCATGTTTTCCCTTTAATCATTTTTGCTGCTCTTCTCTGGACTTACTCCAATCAGTCCACATCTTTCCTGAAATATGGCGCTCAGAACTGGACACAATATTCCAGTTGAGGCCTAATCAGCACGGAGTAGAGCAGAAGAATTATTTCTCATGTCTTTCTTACGACACTCCTGCTAATACATCCCAGAACGATATTTGCTTTTTTTTACAACAGTGTTACACTGTTGACTCATATTTAGATTGTGATCCACTCTGACCCCCAGACCTCTTTCCGCAGTACTCTTTCCTAGACAGTCATTTCCCGTTTTGTATGTGTGCAACTGATTATTCCTTCCTAAGTGGAGTACTTTGGATTTGTCCTTATTGAATTTCATCCTATTTACCTCAGACCATTTCTCCAGTTTGTCCAGATCATTTTGAATTTTAATCCTGTCCTCCAAAGCACTTGCAACTCCTCCCACCTTGGTCTCGTCTGCAAACTTTATAAGTGTACTCTCTATGCCATTATCTAAATAATTGATGAAGATATTGAACAGAACCGGACCCAGAACTGATCCCTGCAAGACCCCACTCAATATGTCCTTCTAGCTTGACTGTGAACCACTGATAACTACTCTCTGGGAACGGTTTTCCAACCAGTTATGCACCCACCCAATAGTAGCTCCATGTAAATTGTATCTAGGTTGACTTGCCTGCCTGGAAGTAAACTTTGTGTGTTCCAGTGGAGACTTGGATGCACTCCATGCCTTGTTGAGCTGCGGAATGATATGATGGGTCTGTGTGTTGACCCGGAGTCTTCCACATGGCAGCATTAAGCAAAAGCACTTGGCCAAAAAAATCTGTTTGTTACATTTAGAATGCTGTGATTTAAAAATAAGGGCCTCTCTATGCTTTCACACAGGCACAGAGTTTGCTAAGGTAGAAAAATGTGGACAAGCAACCGCATAATGTGCCAGGAAAAAAAAGTATATTTGGCCCTCAAATTTTCACAGAACGTTGGTTTAATTCTTAATACAGTACTGTTCATACAGCCAAATATTGGTCGTATTGAAGCCAACGGCAAACTTTCCATTGGCACATGATATGACCTATGAATGCTTATACCTGCTTTTCACCATTTGTTTTTCAACACAATATTTGGGGGGGGGGGGGGAGGAGGGGAGGGGGAGGGATTGTTAACATGTGGGAGAAAACCTTTCCTATGCTAGAGTCAAAAACACTCGGCCCATGAAGGCTGAATGACTTGGAAGAAAGCATAAAATCATCACTGATAAAGTTTGCAGATGACACAAAAATTGGCAGTGGTAAATAATGAAGAGGACAGGCCACTGATACAGAGCAGTAAGGATCACTAAATAAACTGGGTGCCAGCAGAGAATATGCATTTTAATGCGTCTAAATGTATACATCTAGGAACAAAGAATATCGGCCATACTTACGGGATGGGGGCTCTGCCCTGGGAAGCAGTGATTCTGAAAAGGATTTGGGGGTTGTTTTGGATAATCAGCCGAACATGAGTTTCCAGTCTGACTCTGTGGCCAAAAGAGCTAATGCAATTCTGGGATATATAAAGACAGGAATCGAGCAGGAGAAGAGAGGCTATTTTACCTCTATATTGGGCATAAATGTGACTGCTGCTGGAATACTGCGTCCAATTCTGGTGTCCACAATTCAAGAAGGATGTTGATAAATTGGAGAGGGTTCAAAGAAGAGCCATGAGAATGATTAAAGATTTAGACATTAGAAAACATGCCTTATAGTCATAGACTCAAAGAGAAGGTTAAGGGGTGACTTGATTACAGTCTATGAGTATCTACCTGGGGAACAAATATTTAATTATGGGCTCTTCAATACTACATGATCCAACGGCTGAAAGTTGAAGCTAGACAATATCAGACTGGAAATAAGACATAAATGTTTAATGGTGAGAGTAATTCACCATTAGAACAATTTACCAAAGGTATTGGTAGATTCTCCAGCACTGACCATTTTTAAATCAAGATGGGATGTTTTTCTAAAAGATACTCTTTTGGAATTATTTTGCAGAAGGTCTGTGGCCTGTGTTATACAGGGGTCAGACTAGATGATCAGAATGGTCCCTTCTGGCCTTGAATCTGTGAATTTCTCTCTCTCATATATATGCACACACAAGTACACAAACTCAATTCTTTTGCAGGTCACCTTAATGTTTATTAAAGTCCTTTGAGATCGTCCAGGTGTGTGAGAGGTTCATTGTCTTATTAATTATTACTGTAAAACTGACCAGTTCAAAATTACTGAGGATAGGAACCATATGAAAACTTTATCTGGTACTTTTTTCATAATACACTAATATTTCCCATTTACTCTGCTTCTTTTCTCTAGAGCTAAATTAATAATTTTCAGTTAAACCTTAAAATTGGAAGTACTAATTATTGAAGACTTTATGGTAGGTGAGAGCCAAGAATCTTCCAATGGACTAGTGTTCTTCTTCACTTCCCACCCATGGCTACTGTTCTGTTACATCCTGCACCACTAACACATGTGTTAGTTTTGCCCTTCAGTTTAATGGGAGCAAGATTATGGGTGAAATCGTGGCCTTCTTGAAATCAATATAAAAGACTCCCATTGACTTCCATAGGACAAAGATTTCACTCCAGGTCTTCAGACATCTCCCGGGTTCCGTGTCAGTTATGGTGATGTAAATTGTGGCTGAAGTGAGACTCGTTGGGAGTGAGAAACACTAAGAAAACATATAGGGCATCATGTCAGAGCCTGGATTCTCAGGCTGAAATTTTAGGCATTGGTTCCCTCTGCCCCGCTTTACCATTCTGTGGGGTTTTGGGGATCACTGGTTATATCTGATCCCCTTGGTGAGGAAGCGAGTCAGCTTCTGTAGGCTATGTCTCCACTACACAGCTTTTAGTGACAGGGCTGTGTTGCCACAACCATGCCCCTAAAAGTCGCACAGTGTAGCTGCAGTTTGTTGGCTCCCCTGCTGACAAAAGATGTCTACTCCCAGCAAGCAGCACTGTTCACACTGGCACTTGTCGCGGCAAAACTTTTGTCTTTTGAAGGGGGGTGGGGGTAACACCTCTGAAAGACAAAAGTTTTGTCGTTCAATTGCCAGTGTAGACATAGCCATAGAGAAAGCTGTGCATCGTCTTTGGGAAAAGAGGAGACATTACCATTTTTTGTTTCCTTTTCTGCTGCGTCAGTGTCTCCGAAATGAAGATGGAGGATATTCTGTCCAGCCTGATGAAAGACGATCGTTTCCAGGGGCGCCGGTGGGGAACCAAGGTGAGCAAATGTTCGATTCGGAATTGCTTAAATTTACGTTTCCTAACCAAGCGTGACAAATAAGCCTTTCCTTGGCTCTGTTTCTTCAAGACAAGGTATTAGCAAACCTATGATCTGGGCAGTGCAAAATGACAGTTGAACCTTGCTATTCCACACTTCCCTAATCTATGTTCCTTGAAAGTTTTGCTCCAAAAGGTCCCTTTACAATGTTCGGCAAAGCTTTCACAGCGGGCCGTGCTGTAGTGAGGGCTTTTATGGCAAAGAAACTGCATTGCTTTTTTTACAAACCTACTGCAGTCCATTAGCTAGCAGATTCTGAAATATTTTAAGTGATTACAAACTACACAACAGTCCTCCAAGTAAATAAACATTTTTGTGACGCATTCTCCAGGGTTTTTTAATTTTCACCTTTGTTTGCTTAGGGCCTGCTCCAAAGCCCATTGCCGCAGATGGGAGTCTTTCCACTGACATTGGTGGGCTTTGGATAAGCTCCTTCCTTGCTAATTCACCGAATGCAGACACTTGCAATGGATCTCCCTGTCATTAGAGCAAATTGGAGAGTACTGCTGTTTAAGGGCCCAGTTCTTAGATAGAATGTGAGTGAAAGTCAAGCATTATCCAGGTTTATTTTTCCACTCGCTCATTATTTTGCCAGTTCACTCGTTTCCTTACACCAGCCCACAGTCTTCAACTTGTGCACTGTCTTCCAGTTTCCTACTGACGGCAACTGTGGGTGTTCCCGTGCCTTTGAAAAATAGTCATCCTTCTGTTATGCCATACATCATCTTCCATGGAGATCTGTGGACCATCTGACATTTCTATTCAAAACCATGTATTTCCGGCCCTTTCCTCAAGTCAATATACAGTATATACGGGGTTTTTTATTTTCTGTTGTATGTTGACTGGAACAAATCCTTATTGTTCAGGAGTGTGGTCTGTAAAGTAGTCTAACAAATACATAGTTTAATAAGCGTGTGTGTTAGGATAAAGGATTCGTGGGTGTGAGTTTGGGATTGCTGCATTCTCTAAAAATGACCTAGCGTACCTTTTCTATGCATCAAAGTAGTGACATTTTTAAGTCCAGTATCCCTGGAAGCAGGGGCATGCCCCTCCCCCCAGTAATCGGCGGGGCACAGAACTCCTCTGGCCCCAGGTTTGTGGGGGGAGCTGACAGCTCCTCCAGCCCTGGGACCACAGCAGGGGCACAGAATGCGCCGCTCCAAAAGTGCTCATATTTTATTCCTGTGCATGCTCCTGCCTGGAAGTAAGCTTTGTGTGTACCCTTGGAGACTTGGAATCCCCTTTTAAGGATTACAAAACTCCAATTTCTGGCCCTGCTGGTTCTAAAGATATCCCACTTAAAATCTGGCACTGGCCCAGGGCAGAATATAACCCATCTTGGGCCAGTGTAATTGTGTTGGCTGGGAAGAGAAAATATTTCTCTGGAAGGTTTTGGTTTGGTTTTTCAATTGCAGCTCTTTTGAAGCTTATGACAATCAGGCCCATGGTGCATTGAATTGAGAACCCAACGACTGAGGGTTCTCAAATCAGTGGCCACTTTTGAAAACATTGGCCTTAACAAACTCTTTGTGCCTCATTTTCCCCATCTGTAGAATAAGGCTAACCCCTAACCACACCAAAATAAACCAATATTTGGAAACCAGTTAGTATTTCCATTCATTACTTGTGGTAGCGTCTAGAGAACCCATTATGCTAGGTGCGGTACGTATAACAAAAAGATGATCTCTTCCCCAAGGAGCTTGCCAATCTAAAGTTGAACTCCTGGCCCCATTTAATACAATGGGAAGTTTGCCATTGAATTCAGTGGAGCTGGGATTCACCCTAGTTGTGGGAAGTTGGTGGTGCTGCCTGACACAGGTTTAAAAGACAGTGGCCAAGAGAAGAAATATCTTGTTACGGGAATGTCCTGAAAAATTGAATAGGGATGAAACCAATATAGTTCTGTGGACATTAAATAGGATTCTATAGACATTACTCTTCAAACGCCTATAAAATGTAATAGAAGATGCAATCCTTTCTATGGCAGCCTGTAGCCTTCTATATCAGGGATCTAATTCTCTCTCAAATTCTATAGGGTGATTTCTAAAAGGTCTATGGAAGGTTATCATCCCCTACTAAATGCTATAGGACTTTTCCATAGAGCCAGTAGAGCGAACGAGGAACAGAATAGACTGTGTGTGGAACAGACCGCGATTGCAACTTTTAATTTCCGCTTGTTATGAAGGATCTAACCTAACCCAGTCATGGCTTTGCAACTTGTAAGTTACAGAGTTCTCTTTACCTTATCAGCTCTCCACACATGGAGTCACGTATATGTGATACTCATGCCCATAGAGTCCCCATTACAATGCTTTTCGTCTCTCACCGCCTTGACTGAAGTCTATTATAAATACCCCTTTGGAACACACATTTTTGGGCTCCTGTGAGCAACTGGGGAGTGAGCTGAAGTGCCTGTAAAATGTATATTTTATATTTAGACACATAAAATATATATGTGGCTACATCTGGGTGAGTGACTGTTCACCCACCTACAAAGAGAATACATTTGATCTTTCAACTTTTACGGGGGGGAGGGATAGAAAAAAATACCTTGGTGAGTTCTAGGGACTGTGCAAGAGGGTCAGAATCAGCCAAGCAAAAAAAAAGTTATTAAAACAACATCCTTCATTTTGTTTTCAAGTATCACAGAAGCAGGACGTATTATGACCTCCCCCTTCTTTTTTAACCATAAAAAAATCCCTCCTGTTCTAGTTTGTATGAACTGTTTTCCTTAATGAACTTGGAGATTTCCAGTATTCTTCCCAAAAAAAACCCGTCTTAATAGACAAACGTTTCTCTCTTATGAAATAAAGAATCTCTTGGTTTTTTTAGCATGGTTGCTTTTTTTCTGTGATGTCATGAAATGCGCAAATAAAATTAGTTGCTCTTTGTGTATATTATTATTTATTAATTATGTTTATTATGGCAGTGCCTATGGACCAACCAAGAATGTGGCCCCATTGTGCAAGGCACTGTACAAACACAGAGTAATAGAAGCTTTCGTAAATGAGGCGGAGTGTGTAACATAGTACATACATACACGCAACACACAGTTTAGCATCCATGAGTTACAAGGGTTAGTTCCACTAACAGAGGCAGTAAAAATATCTAGAAGGAGAAACAGCCAAGCAAACCAATACGTTATCTTTTGGGCCTTGGCATATGGTAGAAGGGCCTCAGGTGTATTGTCTCTCTGACTTGAACAGGGATACTCTCAGGAATGAGATTTACTTGGGTGTGTAAAGGATGCAGACTTGCTTGTAGCTGCCAATCTCCTTGTTTTATCTGTCCACAGCCTCAGACAGTGGTGTACGGTGGGTTTTTTTTACACTGCTCGACTCTGAGTCAGTTTTAAATTTAGAATTTTTTTTTTTATTATTTTTTTTAAGACCAACCTCCCTGGAAGGCAGGAATCAAAACCCAGATTTCTTCATACCCATTAGGGGGCAACTTTAAAATGAAATCTTTCTGGCGGGGTTGAGGGGATAGAAGAGAAGGAAGGAGAGGAGGGGGGAAGCTGTTTTCTAAGAACGTTATGTTTTCTTCCATTTCCTTTTTTTGATTTATTTTTCTTGGGCTGACCTCACACTTTGGAAATTATGCACCTAGTTTTTATCCCTCGTTTTAGTCTTACTCCCCCCCCCCCTTCCACCAGCAAGAAGAGATGCCTCATTTTGAAGCCTAAAGGGGGAAATAAGAAAAGTCCTTTGTAATATATTGCCATATTATCACTAAATCCCCTGACAGTTGTGACACAGAAGCAAGTCACCTGTCACTTAAGCTTGAGGTCTCTTTAATTTTCTCCTGGAATTCGCACCAGGCTGTCTTTAATTTGAGGCCTTTATTGGAATTCTGAAACCTTTCTGCCTCCCCAGCGCTCAGATCTATTCTGAGTGCTGTTACAGAATGTATACAATAACCAACAGAGGGATTCGGAGAGGGCTGAAGCACTGTTTATTTAACACTCTGGAGGGATTTTCGTGCTTATTCGGTCCTGGCTACCCGGCTTTCAATATCGCTTTGACAACTGTTATGCCCTTCTCATTAATTTTAAACAGTTAAAACACAGGAAAAAGAGAAAAAGTTTTCATTATTAAAGTGCTTTACTTTTTAATAACAGAGGATTCTGTCCGCCAGGGGAAAGGGCAACCTCGCTAATTTCACATTCATATTAAAAAACGCTGGGAAGGTGACACTCGATGCCGCCTGTGAGGCTTAACAAAAGAAAAAGTGGAGAGGGTGGGGAGGGGAGAGAAAAAAAGTTTTATGTTTCACGTCAGTAGAAACTTGATAATGACAATGACAAATGTCCGCTTTGGTGAGGTGGCTCCACTTCTGGCATATTAAATCCTTGCATGGACCCTCGACTGCGAAATAGCTCATCAGATTAGTTATTGTTAATAATTCAGTTCTCCACGGGTGTAAGCAGACATGACGGCATTTAAGTCAGCCTTGCACCCTGTATCACCAGGAGTGAATTTGGTCTGCTGTGCTTTGTAGCTTGGAGATTATATAGAGATCTTTTCCCCCCAAAATCCAGTAAAATGACTAGAGCCCCTTGTCTACCGTGCACAGATGCAATACATGGGACAATGGTTCACGCATGGGAAAATGCAGAGACGTCATTGCATAAAGGGGCTCTCTGGAAGGAAGTGGAGAGGGCGCTTAGGGTGCAGGAAGGAAAAGATTGTTCATGGTCTAGGAAGGCGGTAGGCCAAGAGTGGAAGAAAGAAGTGGAGAGAGCAGCTTGGATGGAGGCTCCTGGGAAGTAGATGGGAATGAAAAAGGAAGTGTAGGGAGAGGAAGATCAGTGAAGATGAGAATAAGGAGCAGGAAGTTGATAGGGAATGAGAGAGAATGAATGTAGGTGGTTTAATTCATTGTCCTAGGGCAGGACTGGTTATATGGATTGATTGATTGATTGATTGATTGATTTACTCCCTGTCTTACTTAGAATAACATCATTCTAAAACACAAGAGAAAACTGGGCCCAGTGGTGTCAGTCTGGAGTAACTCCACTGATCTGAATGGAGTTTCTCCAGACTGACTCTGCTGTAATCAAGATTGGAAGCTGAATCGGTGAATCCAAAGTGGCTGCTAGCAGGAGAGGGGGGAAAATATATGTGATAGGTGTTAGAAAACACAAAATTAAACCTGATTTGCTCCCTTCACGAAGCAGTGCTCACTGGTTGCTTTGACTTTAACATCTTTATCTATACATATTTTTTTCCCTAGTAATATTGAGAGGATTACCCTCGTTGGCCCTGGGGTGGTTACTGTGTGATTTTACTGTTATTAAATCTATTCTAAACTGCTTCATTATTCCTGACTCAAACTCTGTCTTTCCTCTAATCCTCCCACCGCCCTCCTAGAAATCCCGTGGCACGAACCCCCAGGAAGTGCGGGAACGGGCGACGGTCTTGCAGACGGAATTTGAAAATTATGTGCACTCCGGTGAGGGAACTGTCCAGTGGGCAAAGAAAGGTCAGTAGGTTTCTTTAAACTTATTACTGAATGGCTGATACAAACGGCAAGGGTTCCCCTCTGATGGGGTGGGCTTTGGGGGAAAGGCCTAGCAGAAGCATTCCCTAGCGGAAGTGTCTCTAAGGGGGGTTGAAATGGACGCAGAAGGCTTTATAATGATATTAAATGTTAATTTCTTGCTTTCATGTATTTCGCACAAATGAAGTTCAGTCTTGGCTTTCATTAGGATTTGCATCTAGGGAGCTCTGACCCAGTCACGTGAGTGTCTAGGTTATGTGTTACAAGGGGAAGGTCAGAGGCAAGAGGCTAACCTCATCCTGGTTGTAACTGCATTGAATCCATTGTTTACACCAGGGATACATTTGACCCATTGAGACAATGTCTTGGAAGAGATGCCTAGCAGCCCTCAGCCAAGGATATATTTCCATTTGGTGTGTGTGTGTGTGTGTGTGTGTGTGTGTGTGTGTGTGTGTGTGTGTGTGTGTGTGTGTGTGTGTGTGTGTGTGTGT